ATATACACACACACACATATACTGTATATACACACTGTATATATCTGTTTATTGCATTTATGATTCAATGCAATAAAATAAACAAATTTAAAAGATAACAGATCATTGTAATACTTGGTTTAATTACATAATGACTTTAATTGTTGGATGTCCGGCCCCTGAGCTGCTGGCTTTCAATAACTGTGGCTTCCTGAGCAATTTAGTTGAATATCCTGCTTTAGAGGGTGGAATACAGTTTATTCCATTTCCAAAACCTAAACTGAGTCTGGAAGAATGTAAAAGATGATAAAGCTTTGCGGCCGACCACATGAGCAACTGAATAGAACAGTGATAAACAGGAAGTACCACATGTTCATCTGTACGAAGGTAACTGCAAATACATCCTCCATTTTCTGTCATAATTACATTGTATAATCAATGTTTAAATTAAAGGTTAATGTTTACAGCTAGCTGTGCTTTGTTTTGTATGTAGATATATGTTGTAACTTCTGTTTGCATAAGTTTAGTCTTTGTTATGATGAGTTAAAAACTATGATTTTGTACAAAGCATTTTTGTGTAATGTAAAGCAGAGCGCTACATCTGTAGCATCTTAGCTGGCGTCTGTATTGCACACCATTAGCTTAGCGCTAGTTCTTGTGCCATTAACTCTAAAATAAGTATTGAATCAAATGTTTACTTATGTAAGAAAATAAATGTAGATGTTTAACAACCTGTTAAAACACACCAGATGCAGGAAATGACATCTATTTTATTCAAACTTTTCTGTTTTAGTGGCTGTTTGATGAAATAATTTGTGATCTCAGCAAGAGTGACACAAAAAAATCCAACTATTTATTCTATTTGATTACAGTTATAATTTCTTCACTCAATTCAGCACTGTCGACTTAGTTTCAGATTTCAAGCTGCCTTATGTTCTGCCTTACGGAGCACACTCAGTATTTGCACATCAGCTGAAATGTACAAGTGCTCTAGAGAAGCAGACGGGGAAATCTGATGGGGTTTCTTTCAGTTTGTCACTACTGTGTGATGTGCATGAAGTTTTCCTGCCTTTGGCTCCATTCAGATTCCTTCCACCGTCATCTGCCAGAGATGTGAAAGCTGGGTGTGTAGGGTGGAGCAGGAAGAGACAGGAACTGGAAGAAGAGGGAGGGTTTGGGGGCATATGATGAAAACAAAAGGAGAATGAATAGAAGGACAGAGGAGGAGGAGAACAGATCTGCCCTTGAGCTTGTTTGGAGCTTTGTTTAACTTGTGCTCATCTCTTTTTACCCTCTCTAACTCATTACAGCTCTGAATAGTTCTCGTTAACCAGCCGATCCTGAATGACTTTACATCACGACACAACCTTGTAAAATAGAGGGAGTTCAACCAAAAGGATACATAGGGACAACATTAAATGATATAGTCTTCAACCAAACATCATTAAAGCCTTGCTTCTTTTGTGTCAACAATACTTGTGGCAAACAATAAAGAAAATCCTCCAAACCATCAAAGCAAACTGCATGAATAAGTCATCTAACAGCTCCAAGCAAGAAAAAATGTCATAGAAGGCTGCCAACATCCTGACTGTGCATTTCACTGACACCACTTGCAACAATTACATGTGCAACTAACAACTGGGAAGAATAAACAAACTACTGACTAAATCTCAGATTATACTCTCCATCCCCTTCCTTTTTGTTTTAAAAATAAATGCCGGTAAGTATAACATGTTTGGCTTAAACTGCAATTTAAAACTGAAGACAAAAATGAGTGAAAACTATAAATCAGAAAAATCAACAATGAAAGAAGTTGTTCTGCAATTTCCATCCTTTCATTATCTTTTACCCGCTTCTTCCTTTCCAGGTTGAGGGTGTCACTGGTGCCCATGTCCAGCAGTCACTGTGCAAGAGGCGAGGGACACCCTGGACAGGTCTCCAGTCCATCACTGGGACAGAGACAAACGAGACAACCATTCACTCTCTCACTCACACCTAGGGACAATCTAGAGTTACCAATCAGCCGAACATGCATGTTTTTGGTCTGTGGGAGGAAACTGGAGTACCCAGAGAAAGAACATGCAAACTCCACGAAAGGTACCCCCCCCCCCCCC